GCAAAACCCTGCCCAATATATGAAAACTGGCTCAGGGAAAGATGAGGAACAGCAGGAGTCCATTTCCATGATCATGATTTATATCCAGTGGGGTGCGTTTGTAACTTAGAAATTGGCATTGGTAGTCAACACATGAGGGCAGTGTTTTTTGGCCCTTTGTGTACTTTGTTTGATGCGATTATTGTATGCTCTCGAGACACAGAGATTGAGTTGTCTATAGATTTAATACTCAGTTAATAATTTTTTTAATTATTAAACAATAATAAGTTAACCTCATACATAGTTGAAATCTCAAAAAAAAAGAAAAAGAAAAAAAAAAGGCAAAGAGAGATATAGATAGAAAATGAATACACAAACAAATGAGAGCTTGAGATTTAATGTCTTAATTATATTTCACATGTTGTATATCTGATTATTAGATGCATTTTAAAAATATATATATATGAAGAGAGCATGAGGGGGAGAAGGGAAGAAAGTTGAAGAGCGTGATAAAACTGTGCACACAGTGGCTTAGATAGGAGAACTTTTCAGTGCAATAGGCTACACCAGGTCAGCGATATTCCCATCCATTGAAATGATGACACATCATTTAAATATGACATGTTGGCTAACAGCTTCAATTAACGGAGCAATGCACTTTCAACGGAGTTAAGAGTCTAAAATGTCAAAACATTCTTCGTCAACTTCGGTAAAACGTTTTCCCAAATCCCCCAATTTAAGGATTTATTAATATGAGATCTCCAAACACCGGAACACCCATACTCTCTCTCACCAGTTCACCAGTTCTCGCCTTTGTTCTCTAACTCAATCTTCAGTGGCAGGGCGTGCGCGTAAATGCGGAAGACGATGGGTTGTGGTTCTCGCCTTTGTTCAACGTTAAAATTGTATTGCTTCGTTAGTTAAAGATCGTCGTCGTTGTTCAGATCGATTGATCAAACAGCTTCTCCAATTGATTTTTGTCAATTTGAGATCTTAAACCGATGCTACATTTTACACGATGCTTCAAAATGATTTATTCTAATCGAATCTTTGAGCTTCAAAATCTTTTTTCTTAAACATTTTTTTTCCGTTCTTATAGATTGATTTTGGTTGTGAATTGTGATGATCAAAATCTAACGGTGGGAGTGTAAGATCTTTCGCCAATGAATCGTCAGAGGAGGCGATGGAGTGATGTGGAATATAATGTTAAAGCATTTTAAACTCTAACTCCGTTAAAATTAAATTACTTCATTACTTAAACTGTTAGTTAATGTATCATATTTAAATAATATATCTAAATAACATATTTAAATAACATATTTATAACAAAACGATGTAAAAATTTTTAACTTATTAGTGCTAGTTCACTAACAAATTATTTTCTTATGTCTATGGGTTGAGTACCCTTTATACTTTTTTAATAAAATTATTTCTTTTGGTTTTTCAAAAAAAAATATTTAAATAACATATCATGTAGACGGAAATACTATTGACATGATATTTCCATTGCATTGAAGAATTATTTCTCACTCTTAAGGAATATCTCATTGATTAAAATTTTAAAATTTTAAGTTAAAAATAATTTAAATTTGAATTTAATTAAAGATGAGTGGAGAAAAAAAAAGTTGAAATTCTTTTTTATATAACTCATAATTCAATATATCAAAAAAATATTATAATTTTAAATTAATATATATTTGTGGTTTATACCCTTACCTAAAAATCCTGGTTCCGCTATTGTG